GGACATTATATATAATGCCCTAGCTTCAACGGCCGTTTTTGGGAAACCTCTTAGTACTAAAAGAAATCATGCGAAAAGTGATTTGGATCGGGGACGGCCGGTAAGCGGTTTTTAAAAGACTAGTCTTTTGTTAACAGCCGATGAGGCAGAACCAACGGTCTGCATATCTGCAGAGTTGTTCAACAAGTTTAACCACTACACCATATATGGTCATATTGCGTTGATTGGCTGTTGCACTGCATTTAAGGCACCCCTGAAGATGTCCCGAAGGCTGCCTTAAATGCATTCTTATGCAAAGTGTCCGTCTGCACTGTCTTGACCATATATGGACATATACATGCTCTTCTCACATCCACTTTGACACGAGATTACATCGGTCACGAGCTACAGTCTGTGCCGACAACTCCACGTGAACACCTTCAATTCCCCAGGTACGTACCGGTAAATTACCAATTTTAATGTATTGTTTACAACAGGGGTATGACTTGGTGCTATTATATATAGACACACTTGTAGTTGATAGTGCCCCCCAGATCTTAGATATGTTGTGAACTGAACTTGAGGTCATTGGACATGTTGCACGTATTCTCAGACAGCTAATATTATACTAGTAACCTCTTCGGTATTACTAGCGGCTTATAGCTCCCTTTGTAGGCCCATGCATGTTCGCCTTTTCTTTTAAAACAATACAGTTGACTGAAACTTTTCATAGTGCCGCCACAAACCTTCCCTTTCAAATATAGACTCAAAGTCCCCATGTGTTTTATCACAAGATAGCCAATTTACGATTTTATCCACCTTCAGATACAAGTTACTATCACTTCCTGTTGATTTTTTTTATCTTCAACCTGCCCTAACAGTGAATAGAGAATGCTTAGATCGATTTCCTAGATATTTTTTGTCAAGGCCACCATCAACCACAATGAACTAACAGCATAATTATACACAAGAATGCATGTAATTTGGTTGCAATGACTAAGATATATTTTTACATGTTACATATGTTCTAAATGTTCAAAATAATATACATGAAGTCGTGGCTTAGCAGTTGTAATACAGTACCTAGCACTTAACCCCGGCAACAGCCAAAATTATCTCGACCTTTTTGCGGAGACAGTGCCATTTATCGCAGAAGCAATGTCATTTAACTACTTATAATTAAAAGCTCAAGTATAAAGCATCTAGTGGTTTATAAGATAAATGTTTTCTTTGCACTAAGAACCAAAACCAGCCCCATTAAATGCTCAGTTTGAAGGAAATTCTTCAGTCTACGAGGAGTGTGAAGGAGTAACGTGCTTTTTCTTGTCTTCATGACTCATGTAGCTTCAGGGCAAAAGAAGAGAAGGTCAGAATTACTTCTGAAGATTTCCAAGAAAACGATTGAAATTCTTCAGATCATGGCAAATTTGAATATTGAGTAACCATTTTTTTTCTATAGCTAGCTGTTGATGACTCATGTAGTTTCATGGAAAGGCGGAAACGTTGTAGAATTCTGTACACGCTTTCTCGGAAACAATGCTTCCCGTTTTTGCAAAAGGTCTAGGGGGCGTGGCATGCCGCTTTTGTGACCTCCAAAATCATATTCATTCAAAGGAGAAAGTTCCAAGGCCAATGAGAGGGACTAGGACGTCCAAACAAATATACCTTAAAGCCAGGATAACCTTGACAAACACTGCATGATTCTGAATAAGAAACGTCTGGATAGAAAAGACATTTCTGTGAGGTTACACTACCTACTAGTATACTATTCTCTCAGATTTTTAAAATAGTCACTTATTGATAACATGGCGTCTGCTTGCCACTAACCAGATCCCTTCATACATTTGTTATAGGTTTACGAACATAACCAGACACTATGGCTGAAGACGACGTTGCTGCTCTGGTCGTGGACAACGGGTCCGGGATGTGTAAGGCCGGCTTCGCTGGGGATGATGCCCCGAGGGCCGTCTTCCCGTCCATCGTGGGCAGGCCACGACATCAGGTATGACTTACAATTGTACTGTTTTCATTTTTGTATGACTGGTCGTGTTTGTGCATCCGAATGCACACATTCACATACAGTACTTCTACATAACCATACCCAAAACTGTTAAAACTTCTTCACTTTTAATTCTTATAGGGTGTGATGGTCGGTATGGGCCAGAAGGACAGCTATGTCGGTGACGAGGCCCAGAGCAAGAGGGGCATCTTGACCTTGAAGTATCCGATCGAACACGGCATCGTCACCAACTGGGACGACATGGAGAAGATCTGGCACCACACCTTCTACAACGAGCTGCGTGTCGCTCCCGAGGAGCATCCTGTGCTTCTCACTGAAGCTCCGCTCAACCCCAAGGCTAACAGGGAGAAGATGACACAGGTTGGTCTGCGGTCTCTTTTGGGAAAGTTATTGGTAACATAGGCTCATATGCATATTAGGTGCATATTGGTTTCCTTATTGAAGCAAAATGGCAGCAACTGGCTCACAATGAACTGTACTGCATACACGTACCGTCAACATCAAGTTTCGACATCTCCATTTTCAGATCATGTTCGAGACCTTCAACAGTCCGGCCATGTACGTGGCCATCCAGGCCGTTCTGTCCCTGTACGCCTCCGGTCGGACGACTGGGATCGTGCTGGACTCCGGGGATGGTGTGTCCCACACGGTGCCCATCTATGAAGGCTACGCTCTCCCACATGCCATTCTCCGTATTGACCTGGCAGGAAGGGACCTGACAGACTACATGATGAAGATCCTGACTGAGAGGGGGTACTCTTTCACCACCACAGGTGTGTTCACTGTGTTTTAGTAAATGTTTCTTTGATATATATATATACCAGAATTGGCTTCACATTTACCAGAGGCATGTACGTGTCGCCCAGAAAAGAGAGAGAATGGGTCCTACATTGCTCGTCAGTAGCCATGGCCAATTATGAGTGGGTTTCCAACAAAACGTGCCGTGTTTCACTTTGGTTATCATTATATAGCTGATGATTGTTCGTCATTGCTCAGAGTAAAAGAATATAAGATGTTCATCGCAAACCCCACTGACTACAATGTGCCGTGTTCCCACACAGCCGAGAGAGAAATCGTTCGTGACGTCAAGGAGAAGCTGTCCTACGTCGCCCTGGACTTTGAGGCCGAGATGGAAACTGCTGCCTCCAGCTCCAGCCTGGAGAAGAGCTACGAGCTGCCTGATGGTCAGGTCATCACCATCGGGAACGAGAGGTTCCGTGCACCCGAGGCACTCTTCCAGCCTTCGTTCCTCGGTAAATTTCTCAACAACCTAGGCATTTCTTTTTACATTTCTTCCCATCCAAATCATTTTATGGATATTATCATCAAGTTATTTGACACATGATGCACGTCGTTCTCAATTATTTTCAGGAATGGAGCAGACAGGGATTCACGAGGCTACCTTCAATTCAGTCATGAAGTGTGATATCGACATCCGTAAGGACCTGTACGCCAACACAGTCCTGTCCGGCGGTGCAACCATGTTTCCTGGTAAGATACAGTCATGATAAACTTAAATATAATCTCCAGGCAGATTCTGGAGAGAAACGGAAGTCCAGGAAACCAATGGATACAGGCTAGACTCCCCTTGCCCCACAGAATCTGCTTGGAGATTAGGATTATCCTACTATGTTGATACTTGATGATAGGAACGACGTTGGCACTATAACAGTGGTGATTGTAATGAGCCCTGAATTTTTTGTGTCTTGAACAGGCATAGCGGACCGCATGCAGAAGGAGATCACCGCCCTGGCTCCCCCAACCATGAAGATCAAGATCATCGCTCCTCCCGAGAGGAAGTACTCCGTGTGGATCGGCGGGTCCATCCTGGCCTCCCTGTCCACCTTCCAACAGATGTGGATCAGCAAGCAAGAGTACGACGAGTCGGGACCCTCCATCGTCCACCGCAAATGCTTCTAAACCTTCAACCATGAACACCTTTTATCTATAGGGATATAAGAGATTTTTGGGTACATTTAGTAAAATGTGATTGAGATATGTTTCCAAGGTTGTTTCAAGTTAAAGGTGGCATGTAATTGTTTTAACAGCATTAGTACAGGTAACGAAATAAACGGCTGCAATATGCCATACCCATTCTCTGAAAAAGTCAGGATTTTTTTGTCGCACTACATTCTCTGATTTACTGATATACCAATAACCAACGTCATCTTTACACATCAAAGTAAATCCTTCTTGGGCGTTAGAAAGCTTCATCATGATGATATTTCTCTTAGAATCCCTTTTAACTTCATGCTAACCAGGCATCAATCTGTTTTTAAAGAACCAGACTGAAGACATCTTCCACAATAATAGAACTTTACATTGGTAATGATTTAGAAAGATGTCCCTTGACTCTTTAGTTGGGCCATCATACCATATATTGTAAACTTTCTGTCTATTTGCTGTTAGACACTGTCCGACACAAGATAACACGTCCCTGGGGTAGCTTCACAATCTCATTGAAATCATATGCATCGACATTCTTGGCTATGTATGGGTATATTCCTGGTGGGCCCCACTTCGACAGAAGACAACATTATCTACACTTCTGACAAAGTAACAGGTGCCAAGGGAACAGGTGCCTGCCCCACATCGTTGATCTAGTTTCCAGATATGCTTATCATGCTAGATGGTCGAAATAAACTGTGTCCGCCCTTGTTGATGAAAACACCAGCGTCTGACGTTAGAAATAGTAACATAAACGTGTAAGCTTAAATATGTATCTTACCTGGCAGTGCCTTTGCATTCAAAAGTATATTGTGGTTTTCTCAGACATAGAAATAGTCCTCTCAGAGAAACAAGGTAGTTTGACATTAAAAAAAATCTTTTGTCAGGGACCGATTAACTGTAATTATCTGGCCACATGTCCTCAGAGTGGCCCAGCAAGTTTGACCATTATACCATATATGGTAAGCTTTCTGCCTATTGGCTGTTTGACGCTGTTCGAACACAAGATAACACGTCCCCTAGGGTAGACTCACATTCTCATTGAAATTTCATGCATCGACATTCTTGCCTATATATGGGCATATTTCTGGTGTCCCCACTTCATTACCTGCACGACATCACAAGCTACAGGTGCCTCCGCCAACTCTCCTCGGCAACTCACTCGATATCCAGGTAAGACTTTTAGTATTTTCACGGTGAATCGTTCCGTAAAAGATCATACGTGTTGCACGATGGTTAGCTAGCTTGGCACAGTAAAATTGTAGCTATTTCGTCAGCTTTACTTCACGTTGAGTGTACTAGATACCGCGTGCATGGTGTACTCTTTTAAAAAGGTCGGTGTTCTCTAGCTCTCGAGATGCGGTTATTTGTGTTAGTTAAAGAATGACAACATGGATAATCATGTTGCAGTCTCACTTGTAATGTGCAGTCCTGGCTTGTGCAACGCCGCGACCGCGATGTACCAGGTTGTTTTTCCTTTACTCCCTCCCCCCCTCCATTGAATGCATTCACGAGGGCGTTCCTCACATAGCGCCGTCCCAGCTGTAGAAACTAACCTGCTAATTTGGTACTATCAAGGACATTATATCTGTGTATAATGTCCTTGGTACTATCAATGAGAGTTGAATCACCTTGGTACTATCGGCTACAAACCTATTGCTACGATATCGGCGTATCAAGCTACTAGAATTGCTCGTTTGCACGATTGATGGAGTTCTGAACTTCGTGTTAGACAACGTGACTTTTGGTTTGGAAATCATAAGATTATGGGACAGCTACCATACTCCCACTGGACTGGAAAACGCCAAAAAGAAACGCCCCTTTTAATTGATACAATTAAATGGCACTTGGGAATTGTCACTAAACATTATGTAGATCGAAATACAACTGTATCAGATTGGCAGTCTCTCTTTGTCTTGAACGTAGGCAAACTTTGTTATGCTAGATAAATAATGTAATACTTCAACCAAATTCCCAAATTTCCCTGTTCACTTGGTTTAATATGAGTGTAATAGATTGTATCGTCTACGTTATGTCAAGAGGTGCACAAAGTACAACGGGTCAACTAGTAACTACATTTAACCAGGTTATGCAAGTTGTCTAGAGGGGGCGTGGCCACCACTGGGACATTCGGTGTAATTGTCGATGGCACACCCACATGGCAGGTGCTGGGACAACTTAATATAATAGGTATTCTTAAATACGTCGTAGACTTGGTTGTAGTTATCTTGGAACTTACAAATGAGTACAGTGTCCTAATGCCAACATAAACCCAACGTCTCTGGTTTTACAGGTTTTGACAAGTAATCAAACACCATGTGTGACGAAGATGTTGCTGCTCTGGTTGTGGACAACGGGTCCGGGATGTGTAAGGCCGGCTTCGCTGGGGATGATGCCCCGAGGGCCGTCTTCCCGTCCATCGTGGGCAGGCCACGCCATCAGGTTAATTTGTCTATAAACACCAGAATATATGCACGTGCCATTCTAATTGTTCATCTTCCATTGAAATCAGTGTACTAGTATTTCAACACGACCATAACCCAAGTAACATTTTACCAATTTCTTCCTCTAACCTCCAGGGTGTGATGGTCGGTATGGGCCAGAAGGACAGCTATGTCGGTGACGAGGCTCAGAGCAAGAGGGGCATCTTGACCTTGAAATATCCGATCGAACACGGCATCGTCACCAACTGGGACGACATGGAGAAGATCTGGCACCACACCTTCTACAACGAGCTGCGTGTCGCTCCCGAGGAGCATCCTGTGCTTCTCACTGAAGCTCCGCTCAACCCCAAGGCTAACAGGGAGAAGATGACACAGGTTGGTGTGCGGTTTCTTTTGGCCAACTTATTGGTAATATATATAGACCCATATTAGGTGCATATTGGTTTCCTTGTTGAAGCAAAATGGCAGCAAACAGGCCCACTTTGAACTGTACTGCATACACAAACCGTCAACATCAAGTTTCGACATCTCTATTTTCAGATCATGTTCGAGACCTTCAACAGCCCGGCCATGTACGTGGCCATCCAGGCCGTTCTGTCCCTGTACGCCTCCGGTCGGACGACTGGGATCGTGCTGGACTCCGGGGATGGTGTGTCCCACACGGTGCCCATCTATGAAGGCTACGCTCTCCCACATGCCATTCTTCGAATGGACTTGGCAGGAAGGGACCTGACAGACTACATGATGAAGATCTTGACTGAGAGGGGGTACTCTTTTACCACCACAGGTGTGTTCACTTGATTTTGTCAGCAGACTAATGCTATATCATGCTACACATAGATGACCTACCAATCGCTCTACAGCAGTTTTGTGTGCAATATCCCGTATTCCTTAGTGTCTCAATGTAGGGCAGCAACAAATAAGTTCCTCTTAGTCTGTCCCGGGCTGCTTCTTGATATGTGTGTGTGTGATGTAGAAATACTAAAAGCTACCGATTTTCACACATGATCACAGCCGAGAGAGAAATCGTTCGTGACATCAAGGAGAAGCTGGCCTACGTCGCCCTGGACTTCGAACAGGAGATGGAATCTGCTGCCCGGAGTTCCAGCCTGGAGAAGAGCTACGAGCTGCCTGATGGTCAGGTCATCACCATCGGGAACGAGAGGTTCCGCTGCCCTGAGGCCCTTTTCCAGCCGTCCTTCCTCGGTAACGTTCTAGACATTTGAATTGAAGTTGTTGAGAACAATCACTAGTTGGCTAGTCATGAGTATTGGGTTTCAGACATTCTGCCGGTTCAGTCTTCAGACAAATGTCTTTTGCTCACTGACTTGTGATGCCAAGTATGCCGTTATGCACTACATACCTTTTGTAGTTTTGACGTTTTAAAAGACACTCAATGAGAAATACGTTATCCGTTCCTGTTGATATCAAACGATTATGACCAAACTATACGTACAGGTTAATGACAGCCAATTGGCGTTGATTTTTGTTTTGCTATTTTAAAAATCTCATTAAGGAATTTGTGTCCAATACAAAAGCCTAACATTTTGGGAACTTTCTTTATTCTTCAGGAATGGAACAGAATGGAGTTCACGAGACTACCTACAATTCAGTCATGAAGTGTGATATCGACATCCGTAAGGACTTGTACGCCAACGCCGTCCTGTCCGGCGGTACAACCATGTTTCCTGGTAAGAGGCAGTCATGGCAAACTAAATCACGACACTGTTATTCCTGGAGTTAAATACAATTGTTATAGTCTCCAAGCAGATCATTTGGCAATGCCAGTATTAAATTGGCCAGGCAGTATCCCGATCCATTTGCCAGACAGTGTCCAAAACGACGTATTGGATATTGTCTGGCAAATGGATACTGCTTGCACTCTCTGACCAATTCGACACTGTCTTTGCAGCCACTTCAAGATCTGCTTGGAGATTAATAGTAATACTATATCTTGATCTTTGGTACGTGGCCGGCACCGATGACGGTGGCACTTTTGCACATGATGCTGACAGTAGCAGAGGTGATTCTGGTGAGTAACTATGTTTTGTTTTGTGTCTTGATTAGGCATCGCAGACCGCATGCAGAAGGAGATCAGCGCCCTTGCTCCTCCAACCATGAAGATCAAGATCATCGCTCCTCCCGAGAGGAAGTACTCCGTGTGGATCGGCGGGTCCATCCTGGCCTCCCTGTCCACCTTCCAACAGATGTGGATCAGCAAGCAAGAGTACGACGAGTCGGGACCCTCCATCGTCCACCGCAAATGTTTCTGAAGCCTCGAAATTCAACCACGAACACCCTTTATCTAGAGGGATATAAGGTATTTTGGGTACATATAACAAAATGTGATTGAGATATGTTGGTCCGTTATTGTTTTAACAGCATTAGTACAGGTAATTCAATAAACGGCTGCAATTTGCCATACCAATTCCCTGAAAAAGACACAATTGATTTCTTTTGCCGCACTACATGCTCTGGTTTACCGGTATAACCAACGTCACTTTAACTCACTCACGCTCTCCCATAGCTTAGTCAGCCGTTGGGGCAGCATTTTTACACATTAAAGTAAAAACTTCATGGGCCTTAGAAAACTTCATGTCATTCCTCTTAGCGTCCCATTTTAACTTCATGCTAACCAGGCATCGGTCTGTTTTACTCTTAAAGAACCAGAATGAAGACACCTTCCACAATAATAGAACTTTACATTGGTAATGAGTTGGAAAGATGCCCATCGGATATACTAAGTAGTATCCAAGCAGATCCTATGTTGGCAAGGGTGTAACCATTGGCCATAGGAGTGGCCATATAGCCACTCCTTTCGCCAATGGTTACAGCCTTGCCACCATAGGATCGTGCTTGGAGATTACATAGGATACTACAATTCCATGCACCATATGATACCACAGGACTGTCCTGTACATCTGTCGCGTGCCACAACAGTAATTCATAACCTGTCTGCCAGTAAATGCAAGTATTTTGTTCTCGACAATACTCACAACCAATGCACGAAAAGTTGGCTCAACCCTTGTTAATTCCGGAATCATGGTACTTGACTTTTATTGACTACTATTGTAAAGTCCAGTAGAGGTTTATTATTAGAAAACAAAGTAAACACCACCCAAGTTTACTGGTATTCACTGCAATAGGTAAATCCGAGTTTTCGTGCAGTGTTATAATCTCCAAGCAGATCCTATGATAGAAAGGCTGTACCATTGGCCAAGGGAGTGACTAATGGGCACTCTTTTGGCCAATGGTTACCGCCTTGCCACCATAGGATCATGCTTGAAGATTACATTGGATACTACAATTCCATGATACCACAGGACTGTCCTGGTATCTTTTGTGTCTGTCGCGTGCCACACCAGGTACTGGTGCATAATTCATGACCTGCCTGTCAGTAAATGCAAGTATTTCAATTTGTTCTCGAGAATACGCACAACGTGACGCGAAGCTAATTAGTCTGGTAACCCGACAGGGGTAACACCTAGTGTTTTCATAATTCAGAGAAGCAACAAGTAAACGTATTCGTAGCTCATTACACAATCCATAACATGTGCTGCATCAGTCAACTATTAACGGTTAATGCAATGTAAGACGTACGAAAGTTACGACTATGATACAGCTACGTAACAGAAAACATTGTACAATGGGTATCAAGCATGGACTAACCCCTGCCCCCTTCCGCCCACTCGTTTCACTTCCCTTCTCGTATTCATGCATAAAAAAACGCGTGACTGATGATTAGGCTGGCGCACCTCCAACATGGCTGTTTTCAGACAGGTGTTTTTCGTGTTCCTCATTTTTGGAGCACTGTTGGCGGAACTTCGCGCCACTGACGGCTCGATTTCAACTCCAGGTACGTTGTCGACGTATTGTGGCCCGTTGTTGGGTTCGTTTTCCTCAGGTCTCATGTGTTTTCCACCACAACTTGTTAAACACCAGGCACTAGGAGGTCGG